AGTCGCCAACGCGGGCCTAGATGGCTTTTGTGAAGGCCAGTGCCTCTTTAGGAATGTCTGTGAATTTTGTTTTTATTTCCCTGACTCCACTGAAGTCCCTGCTCTTTCCTCCCCTTCCACCCGCCACTACCTCTAGCCCTACCTCCATCTGTGCCAGGGCATTTGGGTCACACTGGCTTTTATCCTGTTGTTAGGCATTACTAATCGAAAATCAGCCTTTGCACTTGACAAGGGTCTACAGGGTGCTGCTACTAGATCAGACTCGTAGTGATCCGCCTGTGTACAGCTTCCCAAGAGCTGGGATTACAGGCGGGCGTCACCACGCCCAGTCTCAATTGCCGTACACAGCGTGTCCCCGGGGGCGGGTCCGGCACGGCAGGTCCAGGGATCGAACCACTGGCCCCTGCGCCTGCTTGCAGGTGCTTTAATCCACTGAGCTATTTGGCCAGCCCTTTGACCCTTCATCTTAGCCAAAGGCCTAGAAGAAATGCCCTCACCACTTCATGCTATCAGGCTTTATCTTCAACAAGGTCCAGTTTTTCCCTAAATTCATTATAAAATGAATTTCCATTAAAAAAAATCATTAACATAAACCTTCCCTTGTGAATATTTTGAATGCACGGGATTTTGACTCCTCTTAACTTCGTTCTGCAGTATCTTATGTGTGGACTTGCCGGTTTCCGCCCTCCAGGGAAAGGTTACACTTGCTAGGACAGCAAAGCCTGGGCTCAGCAAGAGCTTCTGCAATCACAGTTATTGTCGTTTCCTCTATCTTTGTGCTCTGAGGAAAAGTATTCTCTGGAATCTGCTTTGTGTCTTGTTAGAATGGCGTTTCACTTTGCTTGCCTCCAACCCACTAATACTACTTAAATTATCGCTGAAACCCTTAACCTACTGCCTGTGCCCTGAGATAAAATCCACAGCCCTTACATCCGTGACGCACATTCTGTCCCCCCTTGTCCCTCTGCCTGGAGTCCTATTCCTGGGACACCCCAACCTCTGGCCCGCTGGCCCTTGTAGCTAGCTGCTGGGACCCTGCTTGAAAGTCTTTTCCCGTCCACCACTACTAGCAACTTCTCATAAAATGGTTCCAACTGTGACGTCACCTCCGAGAGCACTTGCCTGAAAAACCTGTCACCCCTCCTACTCATGATTACATTTCCACAGCACTAATTTCAATCTCAAATTATCTTAAATCCTTTACATATTTACCAAGTACCCAACTTCAAAGTAAGTTTCTTGAGGACAGGACCCCATGGCTCTGGGCTACCAACTGTTCACCCACAGGTTCCCCACAACCCTCGCTTAGAGCATTTACCACTTCCATGGTGCAAAACCTAGCACTGTGGCTAATTTCAAACTGCAATTTGCATTAACCAGCTTGCAAATCTTCCTAGAAATTGAGCCACCAGCTAGCATGGGCCAGCTGCACACACCACTGGGATCCTGTTCGACTCATTTACCACTGCAAAGAAAAAGAGCTGGGGGGCTGCTGTGTCCTGAGTGTGTTCCCCAAGGGCTCGTTCACTTGGAGCTTGGCCCTCACCATGGTGAATTAAGAGGTTGCATCTGCGGTCAGTCCTGGGGTGACCTGGGAGTGTGGCCTCAGAACACACCATAAGAACTTTCCTAACTTCCTGCACTTCTTGTATGACAGTGTGATCTCCCCCGGATGTTATGGGAATCCCCAGTCTTGGACTTTAGACCGCCACACTGTGAACCAAATAAAGCTGTTCTCTTTATAAAGTACCCAGCCCTGATTATTTTGTTACAGTAATGAAAAACAGATTAATACGAGGACAGTGCCTTCTAATTCACAATCTATAGCAACAAGGGTGATCTCTTTAAAACACAATGTAGATGTCAAATTTTCAGTTGAGTTTTTTGGTTTATTTTGGGCAGCGCTTGGGCTTGAACTCAGGGCCTTGTGTACACTAGATAAGTGCTCTACCATTGAGCTACATCCCCAGCCCCTGGGATATAATTATTAATTCTGTTTTACCAAATGCACGTATATGTAGAAGGAGTGGGCGTTTTAACAAACTGTAACAGAACTACTAAGTTCTCTAAAGTTGGTAGAAATTGCTCCCACGATAAATTTCCTGAATGATTCTCCAAAATAGGATCCTAAGTGAAGGAACCTCTTTCTCTCCTAACAATGATCCTCTGTTTACCCTGATTCCTTCTCAATCCTAATAAAGAAATATCTCAGGCTGAATGACTTCAGTTAGAACAAGAGCTGCTCAAGAGAAGAGATTTAAGAGAATTTCATAGGAACCATAGAAGTGCTGGTTCTGCTCTACTTGGGTGGAGTGAGAAGGTTGAAGAGAGGAGACTGGGACAGCTGCCATATCAGATGTTTGCGAGATTCACGATCTTATGACTGAATTGCTCCACTGACATCCCTCTGAGATGCTCTTGAAAGACTTCGGATGCTCTTGATCTTCTTTCTGGATGGTAGACTTGTTTGTTGAGTCTGCCCCCAGGGAGCATTCTTACTTGCCTTATGCAACCCTGTGCACACTGTAGCCACACAAGCTTGGGTGAGAAGAGCCTGCTCCACAAACCGAGGTGACAGGCAGATACCAGGAGGATTCAGCCACCCGCAGGCAGAACCACATCATCCATCACCAAGGAATGAACCGAGGGATGCCTGGTGTCACCAGCCAAGTGGTCTGTGTCCTTCCAAAATATGTGTTGAAGTCCTGACCCTCAGTGTCAGGCCATTTGAAGGTGAGGCTTGGGGGAGGTGAAGAAGGCCTGAGGGTTGGGATCTGTGCCCCAGAAGAGCTCTTTCCTCCACTTGGCATGTGTCAAGAGTCAGTGAGAAGGTGCCACTGTGGTCACCTTATCTCGAATTTCCAGACTGTCAACTGTTTGAAAGAAATTCCTTTTGTGTATGAGGCTCATGTCTTTTGAGAGGGTGGCCTGACCTAAGGCCACTGGCCAGGGCTGAAGTGCCTGGCTTCCCAGAGTTTCCAACAGTGGGAGGGTTCATGCAGCCCCTGACCTATGGGCAGAGGGCTTGTTCTGGAGCCTTCTGTGTTTTGGTGAGCCTTTAATAACTTTGTAGCAAAACACTGCTTCTTTGTCTTGTTGGACTCCATTCTCACAACTGCCATTATTTCTCTTACAGTTATTTTTTATTTTGTACAGGGTCTACAGGGTCTCACTATACAGATGGGACTCATACTGATTCTCCTGTTTTCAGCCTCCCAAGTGCTGGGATTACAAGTGTGCGCCACCACTCTCAGTCTCTCAGTCTCAGCATGCCCTGGGGGGGGGGGGGGGGGGCCTGCCCAGCATGCTGGGATCAAACCCTGGCCAATGTGCTCTGCTGATGCAGCTGCTTTTAGTCTGCTGAGCTATCAGACCGGCCCTTGGAAGGAAGTTTTTTTATGTTTTGTTTTGTTTTGTTTTGTTTTGCTTTGTTTTTTGTGGCTGGCTCAGGCTGCCTTAAGGACAGGTCTGGTATGGCATGTGGAACTGGGGATCAAACTGCAGTCCCTTGCACCTGACTGGGTTTGCCCAAGCAGGCACTTAAACAACTGAGCTAACTGGCAACCCCCCAACAGTTAGTTGCTGATAGCAAAATGGCTCCAAACACTCATCTTTAGAGGAGCCTGTATATTAACCTTATAGCTACAGGCATTCAAGTGCTCAAACTATCACTAATCGTGTGCCAACACTTTCCTTTAGCAGATTTAATACCCTGTTTTAGGGAACAGGAGTCAACCCATAGCAGCACTAGGACACTCAGCTCGGCAGAGCCTCTGGCCCCAGGACACCTGCTACCCAAATCCAGCAAAAGACAGAGAGCCCAGAGACTCGGTTCCTAACAAGCTGAAGACACTGGCCAGGTGTTGGCCTGCTCACCCAGAGGAAGTCAATATTTTACTCCTGTCTTTCATCAATGGGATCTTTTCTGAAAATAGTGAAACAGGAGGCATGAAGGAATTTTCAAAAACAAAAGCATATGACAAAAGTAGCTCCCATTTTTTCTTTAGGATAACTGGGGGAAACACTGCCAAGAAAGTTAAAACTCTCAAAATCTTTAGTAGTCACAAAAATCCCTATGTTAAATTATAGGAACTGTGTGTTGAGGCCTCCTCCTCCTATAGCAAGACCCTTGCTCCAAGGATGTCACCTCCTACTTGCGACTACTCACAACCTGTCTCTGATAGACACAGGTGCAGCTCAGCCAGGGACAAATAACCAGACTGGGCCAATGACAGGCCCTGGCTAGGGACCCAGAGAGGACCGGTCAGTGTCTTCCGCCAGGCATACCAGGATGGGTGTAGAGGGTTGTGGGAGTGCCCCACACACAGGGAACAAGCACAGCTCGCAGGTCAGCAGGAGGACACACTGTCCTAAGGGAGAGACACTTGCCATCAGGGAGAGAGGAGCAAGGCCTGCACACTCAGGTGGCTGTCAGTGGCCCAAGGCTCCAGCCAACGGGAGGGCACCAGGCTACCTCAGGACCAAGCCTCAGGCTTACCTTTTCTGTGGCATCCTCATCAAGTGGTCCCTATATCTGCTGTCTGCCCTCCCAAAGCTTCCTATCCCCTGGATCCCACCCACCCTGCACCCAGTGTGTCCATGCACAACAAGGCCCTGGCCCAACACCACCTCCCTGTACTTTCAGCCTCTTTACCATCGCGAGTGTGGACAACCAACCTAACATGATACCTAACTCAGGCTCCAGCCTATACTCACTCACCTGCCCCAGCCCCGCATGCCATCCCTCCCTTTTTCACGTAACCCAACAATACCCAGCTGAGCAAATGCCACAGTGCTATCTACACCGCTAAGTGGCTGGAAGACCAATGCACCAAAGCAACCTCCCTCTCTATGCAAATGTGCTGAAGCAAGGGGCAGCGGTGCCTTCGGAAAACTCAAAAGCAAGCAGGCATCCTGAGCTGTGCCTTCCATCTTTAGGGGTTGGGCCCCTTCCTCCCCACTGCCCGTGGGCTCGCTCTCCTGCAGACCCCTCAGCCTACCTGGGATATGAATGGCGCCACCATCGCCCCGATGCGGCACAGGGAGCCACTGGTCCCCATCCCCAGAGCACGCATTGTGGTAGGGTAGACCTGCGGGAGGAACAAATCCAGTCACTGTCAAATCCTCTTCTTGTCCTTCCTCCCCAGGCTGGGCTTCAGTATTCAGAAAACCAGAGTACCTCAGTTCCCAGAAGACCCTAATGTCCTCTGGTACGCAACTCAGAATGTTTATAACAATCAGTGTCAGCCAAAAATAAGCACTTTAGAAAGCATCCCTTAAGCAAGCATTTTCACAAAATGTACATTTAATTGAAGAGTCTAAATTTTACTTATTATTTTTTTAAGAGTCTAAATTTTAAACAGGGGGCTGGGGGGCTGGTGAGATGGCTCAGTGGTCTAAAGCACCTACTTAGAACAAGTTGAGCAAAGTACAGGGACCGCGGTTCAATCCCCAGCACCACATGCCAGTCAGCCCCGCCCCCTGGTGGGCTGAGCTGGCCACACACACACACACACACACACATAAATAAATAAATAAATAAAATTTATGAAAAAAAAAAAAAAACAGGGGGCTGGGGAGACAGCTCAGCAGCCTAAGTGCCTGCCTAGCAAGCACAAGGTCCTGAGTTCAATTCCTGGTACAAACAAAAAATAAAGGAAATAAATTTTAAAATTATTATTAATAAAAACCTATTATCAACCTCTGGAATCTGACACCAAATTTCCACCTTAGAGGCGTAAATATATTAAAAATGATTCTTCTGCATGAGAAAAATAATTCCCTAGAAATAATGATCTGATGAAATCCTTATCACAGCTACAGCGAGAAGAATGGAACGGAGGGCCAGGCACCTGCCACACACACACCCCGTATTCTCCATTGAATACAGTGGTCTCAACTGTTGCAGGGCCTTATGGAAATTCCACTTTATTTATGTTGCAGTACCAGGGATTGAACTCCAGACCTTGTGCTTGACAGGCAGGTGCTTATGCCACTGAGCTATATACCCAACCCTAGATATTCTACTTCCTTGCCAGTTTTTTCTTTTTTTACATTTACAGTAAAACTGCATTAATATGCCCTTCACTGTTCTTTTCCCCCCTGAGATAGAGTCTTGCCATATGGTCCAGACTGGCCTTGAACTCACGGTGGTCCTCCCGCCTCAGCCTCCCAAGCTCTAGGATTACAGATGTGCTCTTTATCTTGCTTGGCTCGATTTTGAATTCTTATAGGAGCTGGAAGATGTTTAAATAAGCCAGAAAGCATTAAATAAAATTATAGGGAGATATCTTATATAGAAAATGGGTTTGTTATTTTTAATTTGGAACTTTTAAAAAATACTGCATAATACTGATGAAACCATTTTTATTCATTCAGTAGTGCGATGTGTGTCGCTCTTCAGCAGGCCATCTCTTCCTGACAATCATCTGTCAAAGCCAAGAGCAAAATGCTTTCCTGCCTCTGTATCTCTAGAACAAAGGCTTGGGGTGGAGTGTCTTTATGGGGGGCTCTTTTGTGCGGTGCTAGGGATTAACTCCAGGGCGCAGACATGTTATACAAGTGTTCTACCACTCAGCTATGCCCCCAGGACTTCTTTTAAATTATTTTGCAATAGGGCCTCACTAAGTTGCCCAGACTTGCCTCTCACATGGCAATCTTCCAGCCTCAGCCTCCCAGGGAGCTAGGCATGTGCAGCTGTATCTAGGTGCTTTATTTATTTTCTGAAAAGTGAGGCTGCTGGTTGTCATGCATTCAGATACAGAGATGTTCTGTTCACAAAGAACAGAATATTAGATCGATGAAACGTTCCTTGAGGTTCAGAGTCATTTGCACTCTAACAACAATGGGCTATTATTTTAGGTCCACACCTTTTGTTATTAATCATAGTTATTAAAAATACTTAGAAATGACCCTCAAACTGAGCATATTTCAAAATATATGTTTAATCGAGTGCTACAAAATGCAAGTCTAGAAATGTACCATGCTACACAGATTTTTCTATTTTGGTTCATTCCAACAATCATTTTAGATGTCAACGGAAGGAAATGAAGTAGTACATGCAGTTCGGTATCTTATAATTTCCTATTTCTATCTGTGTGGGAGGGAAGGAGAATACTTTTCTCTGTGGCTAAAATGGTTTGGGGTTTTTGTTTTTGTTTATTGTACCAAGAATCAAACTCAGGACCTTCAACTTGCCAGGCAGGCGCTGTACCACTGAGCTATATCCCCGGCACCTAGAATGGTTTTCGGTGGGTCAGATCTGTACTTGGAAGAGCTGAGATGAGAGTGATCCTGTCTTTCCCAGTCCCCTTGTGCCACCTTCTCTAGCTCAGGGAAGGACAAGAACACCTCAAATCCCAGCAGGTTTTCTGTTCACATACTGTTGAGTTTCTAGGAATAGGAGTTTTCTGTGGTGTGCACCTCTTGAGGGACCACTTCCAGCTGACGCAAGCAGTACCTTACACAGACTTATTAATTCTACAATTAGGGATAAAGCGTAACTCATAATTAAATGCAAATGTAAACTATATGCGGCAAATAACAGACAGATGAAAATGATATTCCAAAAGAATAAAGGAGATCGGGGCATGGTAGCACATGCCTATAATCCTAACACACTGGGAGGCTGAGGCAGGAAGATCACAAGTTTCAGCCCAGCTTGGGGAATTAAGCAAGATATTATCTCAAAATAATAACAATGATCACGGTGAAGGTAATGCTAATAACAGGATCACTGAGAAGGCCTGGGTTTAATTCCCAGTACTAAGAAAGGCAGGAGTGAGGAGAAGGACAAAAGAATGACACCTGGTGTCAAGCAGTGGGGAGGATAGCTCAGCAGACTAAAATGCCTGCTTAGGAAAGTTTAGGCAAGCGCAGGGACCGTGGTTCACTCAAGGCTGCTCCAGCCCCGCACCCAGGGCAACTGAACCAGCCAGAGCCCAGGCATGGTGGCGCACCCCTGTAATCCCAGCGCTGGGCAGGCTGAAAACAGGAGGATCACCACCAGTCTGAGCTGCATAGTGAGACCCTACAACAACTAAGTATACTAAAAAAAAAAAAAAAAAAAAAAGGAGAGAGGGACTCTTGCTACCCCTGTGCTCTGACTCCATGGTACAACAGGGCCAAGAGCTGCTTTGCACAGCTCTGCAGGGGACAGTCTCACCTTGTCCCTCTGAGCCTGGCTTTCAGCAGATTGAATGGGAGAGGAAAGAATCCACATGGGACCAGCTTCATGATGCCATTTGAGTGGGATGTTGAAAGGGAATCGCTGGAACTTTATGGGCGTCAGGGACGCACTGCACGCGGTTCCAAGCCCCTCGCAGCAGCTCTCCTTGCGCACCTCACCCAGCCCCCCAGCCCAGCACTCACCTCGGCTGTGTAAATGTAGATAGTGTTGAAGTTGGCGGCCACCAGGGCTCTCAGCATAAAGAGGAAGCCGATGAGGCCGGCGCTGGAGGACAGGGAGCAGAGAGAAGTTATGGGGTGGGTGTGACCAAGGGGGCCCCCAAGCTGGTCCTCCATGTGTGCTGGCCTGGCCCCCAGGGGAGCAAGTCTTGAAGGACAGGCATATAGCTTGGCCCTCTGCAGTCAGCCCTCTGCATCCGCCAGTGATTGCTTCCAGGACCCCAGCCCATGGGCACCAAAACCTGCGGAAGCTCCAGTGAGTCTCTTCTACAAACAGGTGTAGGACCAGCCAGATAGCTCAGTGGACTAAAGTGCCTGCTTAGGCAGAGCGCAGTGGCCGGGGTTCGATCCCAAGTGTGCTGTGCCAGCCCCGCCCCCGCAGCGCACATCTGTAATCCCAGCACTTGGGAGGCTGAACATAAGAGGATCACTATGAGTCTGATCTCCATAGCGAGATCCTACACACCCCGTAGACCTTGTCCTAAATTAAAACAAAACAAAAACTGGTGTAGTATATGCACAGCATTTTGCGATTACCTATGACACCTAATCCAAAGAAATCCTAGGGAATAAGAAGAGAAAAAGCCATTGCACCTGCTCAGTATAGATATATTTGGTATTGGGGAAAGAACATAGGACCTTCACAACTGAACAACATCCCCAGCTCTTTAATACTTTGAGACAAGGTCTTCTTTACTTGCCCGGGCTGGGCTCAAACTTGTGATCCTCCTCCCTTAGTCTCCTAAAACACTGGGATTGTAGGCTTGCCCTACCATAACCAGCCCACAATACATTCTTTTTGACACAAGGTGTCACCATGCAGTTTAGGCTGATCTTTAACTCACTACGTAGCCCTATAGCAGCAGATGACACACAAAAAAAGACCAAGCGTGAAGGAACAAGGGAGCTTTTCATCACAAACTCATGACAGACTGATGCCCCTGACTTCGGGTCAGGACTCCCAAAGTTGTCAGTAGCCAGCTGAACTTTGCTTTCCGGTTATAGACTTTTCAGTTTTCCAGAGTAACCACATTACTTCATTGTCAGGAATTTTATAAGAACATTCACATTTCCCAGACACTGTTGACCATCTCTCTGCCATGGGGCAGCATGGTTTAATGTTTGCCCTGTTCCCCAAGTTGTCCCATTTCTTCCTATGTTATGATCATGGTTTTCTCTGAGTAAGTTTATGGTCAGCTACACGGGAAGGGGTGCATGAGTGAGTTTATCTATAGTTTAAGTGAACTTAAGTGACCCTCCTTTAAAATGGAGTCTCTTTTGCCCTATCAGCCCAGGCTGACCTCAAACTCATGGTGACCTCCTGCCTCAGCCTCCCAAATGCTGGGCTTACACATGCGCCACCACACCCTGCTTGAATTTTTATTTATTATTTTTATTTTTTTATTTTATTTTATTTTATTTTGGTATCTTCAATCTATACAAAATGTTCTCAAACACCCAAAGCAAACATACCTGGAAGTACAAATATTGAGGAGAAGAAAAAATAAAGCCGTGCATCCCATGGTGATTGAAAGGCTCAGTCGTCTCCCCAGGAAATTGATGCCCAGGATATTTAAAGGGTTCACTGGAAGGCAAACAGTAAAGACCGTTTCTGCAACCTCAGGACACAACAGCATTTACCAGCACCGGCACGGATGCATCTGTGTCAGGTCAGAAAGCAGTGGCCGCCTGCACACTTCTCAAATGTTCCATTCAGAGCTCAGCCACAGCAGCCTTAAACTCACAGTTCCCTCCATCTCATCTGCCCACACGGGTCCGGGACCACTGAACCCCGGTGCGCATGAGGGATATGTCCCATGCAGGATGTTCACTGTGTCGCAGAGCTCTACGGTACACGGCCAGACAGCTAGACCTACGCGTTAAATGATGGGTACCGTTTCTCACTGAATTCAGTGCCACTTATTTTTAAGTGCCATCACTTGGTGTCAGCTAAAGTAGAAATAAGGCTTCCAACTGAAATCTATATCCCGGCACTGGGAGGCTGAGGCAGGAGGACAGCAAAGTTGAAGGCCAGCCTGGGCAACTTAGTAAGACCTGGGAGGGAGGAAGGGAGGAAGGGAGGAAGGGAGGAAGGGAGGAAGGGAGGAAGGGAGGGAGGGAGGAAGGGAGGAAGGAAGGAAGGACGGACGGAAGGACGGACGGACGGACGGACGGACAGAGGGAAGGACGGAGGGACGGACTGATATACAGACAGGATGGAAATCTAGCAGGTCATTCCCATTTCAGAGAGGTTAAAGAGTGTGTGTACAAATGCGTGTATCTGTGTCTTAAAAATTATACACTACAGCTTTGCTCCTTTACCGCCCTTTTCCCCACATGAACCCAAACTCAAGGCCAACTGGCAGAATTTGGGGCCTTGTGCAGTTCTGCCAGGCAGGACCCAGGTCCCAGGCTCACCGCTATCTCCTGAGATGCAAGATGCACGCGACCTCCTTGCCCTGCTTCAGACAAAGCAGAGAGGTCCCGACACACACAGGGACACGTACACACAATCTCCCCAAGGGTGCTGATGATCATGGTCCGGTAGTCAGAGGGGGCGAACAGGTGGCAGTAACAGGGGCTCTGGCTTCCCTCCGAGTCCACGCTGTGCACCTCCTGGGACTCCGACTGCACCCCGCACACCAGGTCCCGCTCCAGCAGCTCCGCGCTTGCCAGGATGACCCCATAGTAGGCAAATGAGATTCCCAGCCTGGAAGGGACAGAACGTCACAGCAAAGCTCACACCAGCCCTGAAGAATGAAAGAGAAACAAGCAGCAGAGAGAAAGAGGGAGGCGTCTCAAGCAGAAGGCACAGGGCAGAAAAGGCAGAGAGGGCCGGCAAGATAGCTCAGCAGTCTAAAGTGCCTGCTTAGGCAAGCGCAGGGACCGGGGTTCGATTGCAAGTACCACATGTCTCTCCAGCCCTGCCCCCCAGGGTGGGCTGAGCCGGCCACATGAAGATGAAGAAGATGAAGAAAGGAGGAGGAAGGAGGAAGGAGGAGGAGGAGGAAGAAGAAGAGGAAGAGGAAGAGGAGGAGGAGGAGGAGGAGGAGGAAGAAGAAGAGGAAGAAGAGGAAGAGGAGGAAGAAAAGGCAGCGAGCACAGGGAGTCCAGCTTCTGGTCCCCCCCCCCCAGTGTCAGTGCCCGTGAGAAGCACATGTATGCACTGCCATGGGGTACTCAGCAGCAGCACCACTGGTCCCTAAGATATATATGCTTTTGCCTGTGTCAGATTCCTCCCAACCGTCTGCCAAAGGGGTGAAAGCAAGTGATCCAGAGCCCACTGCATGGAGGCCCTAGCTCCATGGCATCCCTCCCAGCACTAGGTGCAGCCCCTCTTTCCCACTATAGCCTGGCTAGTGGGCTTATCTTGCTGGTTTTAATCTGCATTCCCTGGCGACTGTAGATTGAACGTGTCGTGGCATTTTTAGCTAATGTACATGTTTGGGGCTGTGCCTATTCAAATCGGTTATCTAGTTTCCAACTGTGTTGTTTTGCATTATCCTGGTGAAAAATTATACATACAGTATCATAACATGCTGTTATGCTAGTATCTAGATGTTTTCCCCAAAGATTCATTGATGGGGCTTTGGGGAGTGGCTGGATCAAGGGTGTGTGATATTGGATTAAGGGTGTATGATACTGGATTAAGGGTATGTGACGCTGGATTAGTCTACCAATTACTTTAGCACAGCTCTGGATATAGACACTGGAAACCCCATCATGGGCATGAGTGGCACCACCCAATGGCATCATAACCTGGATGGAATAAAAGGGAAAGGGAGGCTGCTGCTGCTGCTGCTTCCTGCTCCCTGCCCACCCTGCCATGGACTGTCTCCTCTGGGATGCCCCTCTGCTGTGCTGCCCTGCCTTGAAATATCAACAAAGTGAGATAAAATAAAAATTTCTTTCTTTAACTTATGGGTGTCAGGTATTTTGTCCCAGTCACAAGAAAAAATAAAAATAAAAA